AAGGCTTGGAAAATAATGCATACTCTATATGGACTACGTTTTATTTATTTATTTATTTTTTATTTTACTTGACAGCAGTGGTCACTGTAAGCTGTCTTGGAAAAGAGCTTTATGAAGATTCTTGACATTCTCATTTTATGTTTTACCAAAAAAATAATACACAGAGGGTGAGTAAATTATGTCAGTAAATAACAAATTTTCATTAGAAGTGAAATGTCCGTCTTGATGTCACTACCATTAGTTTTTATATAATCTCACCGCAGGCTTTCATTAATTTCAGAGCTTCCAATGTGTAATTACAAGTCCAAAGACTGTTTTTTACTAATCAGAATCTGGTAATTATGGTAATTCCAACATGGCATGAATGTACCATTCCTCTTCGACTCTGCAAGCGAGCAGAGAACTGTGATGCGACAAAACTAGATGCTCCTGTGATATTCATTAAAGTGCTGTCAGTGTAAGCAGCTTTGTTAATTATAATGGAAGCGTTCTATTTTAGCGCATAAGATCACAAGCACAGTGTGGATGTGGAGTAAAAGGATGCATGTTCTCTCTCTACCTTTTTCTGCTGCATGTAGGTCAGCTTCCTCTTTCTCTGCTTCTCTCTCCCTCCCTCTCATTTTTCTCTCTCTAGTACATTCTCTAACATCACATCTTGCACAGCATGCAGAGAACTATTACAGATATGTCAGTGTGCTCACCACTGTTAATAAAGCTCACACAATCACAAACCACACCTAACCACAACATTTTTATCTCAGATAACTCAGTTTTAAAACTGTCACACCATTTCACATATCTAACCAAAAATGACTTACTTAAACAGAACTTAAACAGATTCTGGTCCTGGATGCTTACTGGTCAATATACTGTAGCATACGAAACTGAAAACTTCATTAGTGTCCATAATAGTTTTCTAAAATACTTTTATAAAAACAGTGCGATACTCAAACCATGCTATTGTACATTGTGAATACAGTGTGACGACTAAAGAGGTTGTGCGTCATGCCTAACAACTTCCTTTTAGCTGTTGACAATATATTCCCAAATATATCACAATACTACTCACGCTGTATCACTCTGGATAAGAATGTCTACTAAATATCTTAAATGTAAATATAGCACAAGCTCATTCAACATGAAACCAACATGAGCAAGTCAACATGAAATCAGAACATGCATATTACAGTATATGCGTAGGCTATGCATATATTATTTTAAAGAAAAACAGTGTTTCTCTTCATAATCTTTATTTTGGTAAGCCACACCCACTTTTTACCTTCCAAACAATTTATGCTAAATAAAATCAAGTCCAGTCTTAAATTTTTTCTTGTTGAATACCCTGTTTCACTGAAATATATCACATTATGATAGTAAAGTAGGTTGCGAACAGTAATTCACAACTGACTTCAAATAAGCACTGGCAGCCATTTTAGAGTTGTGGGCTTCGGCTGTGTTGTGTTGTAGTACATGTATAGGTTCATAGCAGAAGGACAGATTGTTCTGTGGTCAGGTCCTCAGCCTCTTCCTCCACAGTGCCCATGTCCCACAGGGCCGCAGATGGCAGCTGGCAGATAGAGCAAGACAGTTTTTTAGACTGGAAAAGATGCTGCGGGGTTCCAGATTTCTGCTGTGAGTGGACATGTTGCGCAGATCACAGTCTTTTGCACAGAATCAACTCTTAAAATTTCTTCATCAGATTTTCCCCATTGCTGTGTTTTTAGCTCTAGATGACAGAACACTTTTTAGACACTGTTCCCAAGAGCGCAGGCAAATGGCCTGGAAAAGGCTGAGCTGTGTCCTTGCACTAGCATCACCTGAACTGTTTTATTTTTTCCCCTCCAGGAACAGAAACAACACTACCTATGAGTCTGCATATCTGCACCACTTTGGGAAAAGTGCTGGAAGCAAGGAAGGTCTGGCAAGACTCCTGAGACACTCTCAGACCTGTCACGTCACCAAAGAGTGGACGCACAATTTGTCAAGCTCAACACAGACCCCTTAAGGAATTCTGGTCTTTTAAGGACTGGGAGAACACCTTCCAGATCTTTCCAATGCCACATGAGCACCTCCCTGAAAAGCTTATCAGAACAAAGGTCAGGGAGGTGTAAGCATAGCCAATCACAAGGAAAAGCAAAAACAGGGCAGGGTCATACCACAACAGGGACCTGAAACAGGAAGAAGGTTGTGACATTGGTTGCATTAGCTCCCTTGTGAAACTCATTAAGCAACCTATGAGAAAGTCTACGGACATTTGGCTAACAACAGTATTAAGCTAAACAGTATTTCTTATTAAGATCCTAAGATTCTCTTCAAGGTACTCTGTATTTAAGTCCTTACTGTATTTATGTCAAAATATATGTGCTGTAACAGTGTAAACACTGAAAAAATTGCCAACATATCTTCTGATATTGAGTGTGGTGCACTTTGTAGTGTTCAGCCATTCATTTGGAATTAATACTATCATTGAATATCCTGTTATATCGAATTAACAACTCTCAGTGGTGCAATATCATTGAACAGGGTGTAAGTTGTTGCCTCAAGACTTTTTTAACCACTTGAACCACAAACTGCAACTTCTCGTGACCTCTGAAGCAAGACATAGTCCTCTATTGTCCTTCAGGGCTTTTTATACCGTGCACTGGCTGAAAGTCGTTGTCCATCTGTGCTACATAAAGACTCAGGGTAATGCAGCCCGTGACCAAGGAGGGACTTTGAGACAGCAATGGACAAACCCATCTGTCCTCACGTCCCCTGCAATGGCTGAGTGTCCTCCCCCAGTGCACTAAAGACGTTCTCCGCAGGACCGTACGCTACACCCAGTTCCTTTAGCCAAAAACACCGAGCCTAGGAGTGAATGTCCTGCCTGCGGCGCCAACCTGTGACCATCCCCATGGACACTGTCAAGATCATCCAATCGGAGAAGTTCCCTCGGGAGTGTCCGGTCCCCATGACCCAGCCTCGCTATGCCCCACCTCCCCGCGTGGCCTGGGACGGAGGAGGCGAGGGGGAGGTGATCGTCAACCAGGCATGTGGCGACCTGTCCATGGAGGTCAACAGCAACACCGTAGTCCCACCCAGACCCCTAGTGTCTCCTCCTGCCCCCGTCCTCCGCCGGGAAGCAAGTTATCTTGCCCAGCGCAAGACCAGCACATCCGACATCTGCTACCACCAGTTCCACTACAAGATGGACAACGTCATCGTCAACCAGTACGTGCTCCGCTCTTCCTCGACCTCTTCCTCCTCGTCCTCCACCTCCTCAGGCCCGGTGATGCCATGCGAACCACTGGACTGCCCCACCTGTGGACACACCTACAACTTTGCCGGCAAGCGCCCACGCATCCTGTCCTGTTTGCACTCGGTGTGTGAGGAGTGCCTGCAGATCTTATACGAGTCCTGTCCCAAGTACAAGTTCATCTCCTGCCCCACTTGCCGCCGCGAGACCGTGCTCTTCACCGACTACGGGCTAGCCGCGCTGGCCATCAACACCAGCATCCTCAGCCGGCTGCCGCCCGACCCAGCAGGGACCGTGCAGTGGGGCAGTGACGGGGACCGCAGCTGCTATCAGACGGTGCGCCAGTACTGTCAGTCGGCTTGCACTTGCCACATTGCCAACCCTCTTTCCTCCTGTGGCATCATGTAGAAAGCAGAGGGCGGATGACACAACTCATCCCAAAAGCTATTCCACCATCTGAAAACCTTGAGTCACACACATTCACCTTCTCCGAAGGGTCACAGATGAATCTGTATATTTAATAGCACAGGATGCTATGTGGACTTGAAGTGAAAAGGACACTTGTGTGCAAAGACAGAAATATGAAATATCAGAGTAAATGTATTTTATGTATGAACTGATTTCCCTATAGCCCTCGATCTCTTGTTTTGATCTCTTTACATGGGAATGCCAAGGGAAGTCTATCTCCCCCCATCCTGGGTATAATAAAGACCAATAAAGAATTTAAAAGTCAGACTGTTTGTTTGGTCTAAACTTTCACTTGCTAAGTTACGTGCTGTATGCGATTAGGCTGTTCTGTTAATATCCGGTAGACTTAGGGTGTTTTCACACCTGTCTTGTTTGTTTCTATTGAATCAAACTCAAGTTCGTTTGCCCCCTTGGTGCAGATCTTATGGGCAGGTGTGAATACAGCAATCGCACTCGGGTGCGGACCAAAGAACTGTACCGAGACCCAGCTGAAGAGGTGGTCTCAGTCCGGTTCCAAACAAACTCTGGTACAGTTGAATGGATGAACCAATGAATGGATGACCTTAGCACACGTGTGGTTTTGTTTACAATGTCTGGTTCGCTTGCAAAAAGGGCAGTGTGAAAACGAACAACACCAAACAAAAAAAAATCAACATTGTATTTGGTCCGGACCAAAGCAAGTGAACTAGTGGACTTTCCTGGTGTGAATACACCCTTAGTCACTGAATTAGGCTGCACCCATTCCTACAAACACACGCCCTCTATCCAAAATCACACCCTCTTTAGACATACCAGCCCAAACCATATATGTAAAAAAAATTATAATTATGGAAGATCATCAAAATACATTTTAGTTCATTTATTACTGACCTGATGGAGATGTATTTGACATTACAGATACTTATATATTTTCCACAAGAATTTACACAAATTATTCTGTTCAAAAGTTTACATATACATGGTTCTTAATATCATGTATTGCCTTCTCAAACATCAATTACTGTTTGTAGCCTCATAGTTTCTCATAGTTGTGCATAAATTCATTATGTGCAAAATGTAGATCAAATAAGTTATTATTTTGTACTGTGGAAAACAGTATATTAAAATCCATATCTTTGTTTTTAAAAATGCAAAACATCAGATTCTGCAAAGGGAATGTAAACTTGTATGAGTATGTAAACTTGCAAGGAAATGGTGTATTATATATTTGTATTACATTAAACAATTTGTTATGAAATCACCTTACTATTACAAAATAAGGAATTACAGACAGAGATCATGATAAAAGAGAAAATAACTATAATACAATGAATGGATCTAGTAATGAAAACTTAACATTGGCAGTAATTTACATAGCAAATTTAAATACAATAGGATTAACAAATACAAAGTGCACTGACAACAAACTAAACAATTATCCATTAAGTACATAAATACTATTAGTACAGCCTTAAATACTTGACTAAAACAAGCTATACATATAAAAGTGCCATAATCCCTAGGTGAATGGGAGGTGTGCATCTGCCACTATTACTAGGCATCAATGTGGCATTAATGTTAGAGACGTGTCGTCATACTAGTCCTACTGAAAAAGCTTGGCATTCTTGTTTTCTTCTTAGGCTGAAAGCTTTGAATAAAGGTACATTTATAAAGATACACTTGTGTAATAAATGACCATTAACAAATGCTATTTTATTGATGATACATAATTTAAAATAGTTAAAATAGTAAATTACTTGAAATATTGTCAATCTAAAGAAAATAATTTACCTTTTGCTTTCTCTGTCAGACTGTTGTGTTTCCTGCCTTCTAAAGGATGTGAATTTCAGCTTTTGGATCTTACTCAGCTTTTTGTGCTCATTTCCTGGTAGCTGGTTCAACAAACAGAGGAACAGTCCTATTATAATAACTTGCAACATCCACATTTCATGCTACTTCGGCTAATACTTCTATTAAAGGAATAGTTCACCCAGAAATGAAACTCACTCAGTCATTTACTCAACCTCATGTTGTTCCAAAACAAGACTTATTTTAGCGGGACACAAGAGGAAAAGTCTAGTAGAATGTCTAAAACCAGGGCCTCCAAAAATAACTATAAAAGCATCATAAAAGTACATATGACTTAATGACTTTATAAGTCTTCTGAAGCTCTGCAATAGCTTTCTGTGAGAAACAGACTGCAACAAAGGTTTTTATTCACTAAAATCAGTTATCAGTTTTGGTCAAAAGTTGTCAGTTATCAGTTTTGCTCAAAATTCACTTTCATTGTATGAAAAACAACTTGGACAGTCTGTTATAACTCCTTTTGTGTTCAAAAGAATTAAAAAAGAACAGCAGATTTTGGAAAATGTCAGGGCGAGTAAATGATGAATTTTTGGCCCACTCACTGTTTACTTACAGGATCTTTACCATCAGGTTCCTCGACTAAGACTTCTGTAATAGGTTCATCTCGAACAAACCTTGCTCTCCCTGTAGGACAGACATCTATTTTTAACAGGCATCCACCAAACCCAAAATGTTTCATTTTTAACAAATTTATGGATTTGAACTTGCACTGAGTTCATCTGTCAAGAGGGCTTACTGTGATGGCCGACAGCTGCCTGAGTGTCAGATACTGATCTGTGACGAAACACCATGGGTTCTTTTAGGTGAGTCGATTCGCTGGGTGGATCTTCATGACCCAGAATCTGTAAACCTTGACTGGCAGGATAGCTTATTTCCTCCTCATGCAAGCTTCCACACTGAAAACATGTAATTAGAGAGTTAATGTGCTTGAAATATGAGGTTTCAGTTTACAGGAAACAATAAGAAGTCATTTTGACACATGACACCGCTTTTGGCAAACTGACATAAACCAGGCCGCAAAACAGAACTGGAAAGTCTTGATTATAAGACTTAAAAATGCAACCTTTGTGAGATATATATCAGTGTCTAACCTCTATTTCAGCATGCTGACTCTTCAGGATCTCCACCTCTTTCTGGAGGCTGTAGTTTTGCTGCTGTAGCTTTGCAATGTTCTCTAGCATCCTGCACACCTGCTCCAGGTACAGCAACCCTGGAGACAGCTTGTCCAGCCTGTATTGATCACCGCCTGCAAGCTGCTGAGACAGAGAGATCAAGACCTGTATTCATTAAGATTCCCAGTGCTGGGAACAGTAAAGCTTTTATTATCTAATTTGCTGGGGTATAACAGGCAAAAGCGAATCAATTTGAACTGTATAAAATGTAAAACCTGATCTCTGTTCTAGATTCAGATTTCTCTGTTCTTAGTGCTAAATAGATTCTGAACGTCTATTCTGAGATGCTTTGTGAGCTCCAGCAGTTTGAACAACTGAAAATCTCAGCATATAGGGAAGCTGAACTTCTGATGAAGTGAATGCAAATAAAAAATGTTAAAGCTGAAGTGTGTAATTGCTGTACTATTAGCATAAATACACTCCCCCTTTCAGCTATTGGTTGATCAAACAGATAGTCCCACCCCCAAACTGATACAACTGGCTGAACAAAAGCTCCTGCTCAGAGTAATTAGAGACATTACAGATACTTTTAAACTGTAAAGCATTTATGAAACAAAACAATTAATGGGACAACAAAAGTGTAAAAGGTAACTAGAAAAATAAACAATTCACCAGAAATGTTATTAAAAAAGCTAGCCCCAATCTGGCATTTATAAAAAAAAATTAATTCATCCTGAGAAACCACTTCAGCCTTTCAGTTAATATCTACATTATTTATAGAGTTGACCTTTTGTCTGAATGCATTTCAGTGTTTATATATAGTGATCACTTCGCTCAAAAAATATTTAGGCCTAAATATAAGATTTATGTATTTGAAGTGTGTTAAAAAAAATTATTACACAGTTTTAACATAAACTAACAAACTTAACGATATGCATATTTGTCAATTATACATACATGAAACAGTTAAAATATCTGCACTAAAAAAAAAATCATGGTATAGTATAGTTTATAATCAATTGTTTCTATTCAAAATCTATTTGATTTTATTTAAATATTTTCAAAATGCATTTATTCAAATCAGCATAAATCTGTTCATTGTGAAAACAAATATAACTGTGGAACAAGCAATATCCAGTTAGTTAAGATGAATGAGATTGAAACAAATTTGATTTATTGATAAATATATAAACCTGCTTATAGTGTATTCAGTTGGTTACACTTTAGTTTACAGCATGCGTACTTGCAGTGTACTTATTCAAGAAAGTACTGGGTAGTATAAGGTAAATACATGGGTTAAGTTTAGGTTTAGGGAGGGTTATAACCCAGTTTTTGTAATTGCTAAATAGGCACATACAATGTACATGCAGAACAGAACTGTAGAAGTGCTACCATTCAGTTTATTAGTATGATTACAGAAATCTTACCTGCTTCATTTATGTATGACTGACATATGCATCACAATAAGTCCATTAGTTTGTTTGTTAAAACTGTGTAAGGTTAATTATAAGCAATTCAAATACATCAATCTAAAATGTAAGCCTAAATATAAATATAACATCTAATTGACAGCTTCCTCATGTGACATCAAGCCCCTCAAGACTCTATGTCCTCTATTTAAAAAAATGCAACAACTAGACTAACACCCTCTGGTGACATTTAACACCAAAATTATACAAAAAAATGACATTTGATATTTCCTTATTAGAAGGAAATTTTTGTTTTGGTTACAGTCCTATAAAGTATTCTTTCCCCATGTTCCCACCGAAGTGATAATGTTCAGACAAGTCCAGCATAGATATTTATCATCGGTGGCATTCATTTCTCAACACCCACACATTCCTCTCAGCCTGCTGGCACCATTCCAATCATTCCTCTCTCACCTGAACTGACCGGTTCACAGTCTTAGAACGATTGTTTAGCATCTCATGACACAGAGCCAGTCCAGAGTCCATTAAAAAAATGTCTAGACTGTGCATGTGCATTGTGTGTGTTCAACTAAAACCCATATACATCTCAAACAACACCATAAGCTAAATAGAAAAAAAAATGTGTCTTTAACCTATATTTCAATATATGATTCTGTGAGTTGTTCAAAACAAACATCTTTAGATGCTGACTGCTCACCTCCAACTGGCTGTGTACTGTTTGGCCATGTTGATGTAATTTTAGGCGTTTTCTGTACAGTGCTGCTTTCTTGGGATCTGATGGTTGTGAATGAGTTCTTCTTGGACGAGCAAACCGATGATGTGGTCTGGAGCTGTTAGAGTGAAAGCTGGTTGGAAAAGAGGCTGTGTTAGAGCAATACAGTGGCCCAGTGGTCCCCCTTTCCATCTGATGTGGCGGTCTTCTCCATGAGAGTGAATCTGTCCTTCTCAAGGCTTGCTCCACCTCCAGACATGTCGTTTTTGGAGCCACAGAGCTGAGATCGACACTTGAGGATGAGGAGGAGCAAATAGAAGGAGACGGGGATGAAGGTTGAACTTCATCCTCTGTAGAGCCAAAAACTGGCTGTGATTCCTCAGACATCAATGCACTACACTGGTGAGAATGACAGGGACTGGTTGTACTAACCGTCTCAAATCCAGAGTCCTCGGATTCTGATTTTACATTGGATAGTGGGACGGAGTCCCTAGAAATGGAATCTAATCTGTCCACATCAGGTCCAGGCTGTAAGTATAAATCCTGGTATCCTTCGGTCACCCAACTCTCCAGGAGATTCCCAAAATTCCTATATAGGTTCATTGGTAATGAATTTATCTCGTCTGGTACTCTGTTTCTTTCAGTAGTCAATCAGAACACGTGAAACTCTTCACAGCACCTTGATTTTCTCACAACTGACTAGAAACTTGCAGGTCGATTTGTCACGTTGAACTAAAAACACCTTTCTGGGGCCACCCACATTCCGACTCCTATGCTTCTCAATCACCCTCTGACAACTGCTCCATTTCCGGTGCCATTCCTAAAATCCTGAGCTCATGTTCTTGGCGGATCTGTCAAGACATGTTGTGAGGGTGATGAAACTTTCACAAAGCCCTTAAACAAAGTAACAGAAACTGTTGGTATGTATCCTGAGACAAAAGTAAATACGGTCTTTAATGCATTGAAAAGATAAAACTTCACCCAACACAAGGCTGTAACCACCATAGACAAGTCCCTCCAATAATCAGATATGACCAAATTGTCCACCCCAATATTTTATATTCTTGATTCTGCTCTGCTGCATTACACCACTTTGTTTGTAGGATGACAAAAAAAGTTTTTAAAGTAAATTTTTAAGGGTGGTCTTCCTTAGCGGTCTTAACAATGTCAAAATGATTGAGATGGCCAATCAAATCAAAGAAGACATGAATTCCAGTGAAAATGAGGGCAAGGTAAGATGTAAGTAGCTTAACATTTATTAAGTGTTTTAAATAGAAATGTTAAGTAGTTGCAGTGATGTAAACTTGACTTTTTTTGTCAAATTGTGCTGTTTTTAATTCGAAAACATAGGTCTTTTAAGTGATGCATGTAATTCATAACTGAATTTGATGTGGCAAAAATCAATAATAGAGCTATTTTTGACATCATAGACAAAAATGGGTTTGGTCCACCACATTAATGTTTAAGTCATGGTTACGCCCTTGATCCATCATAATAAAGGACCTTTTGAAATAAGCATACATGCATGAGAGAAATGAATAAAGTGATCCATTTGTAACAACTTAACATAAGTGTTGTTCACTTGGCCACCGCCAGTATTGGTTGCCAACAGAACCAACTCAAGCTTGAGGAAATGGTACTTCAGAGTCATTTTTCACATATAATGCACTGAAACTAGGACCATAGAGTGTCATTCAGTTCACAGCTATGCAGGATCTGCTGGTATGAGCAAGGCAGAGGAATAGACATTCCTGTCTATTGATAACATCAGCATGCCTCTCTGTGTAGGAAAAATGAAAATATGCAACATCAGAGAACAAAACGCAAACCACAAATCAAACTGTTAAACAATGATTATGATACATGCAAAGTGCACTCCTATGAAGATACAGTATTTAGTTCAGCAGTGTGATTAGGTTTATGGTATTATGACAATAATTTTTGTTATTAAGTTTATTATATTATTGCATTATTATTATTCACTATTATTGCATATAATTAAGCTGTACCTAAACTAAAGTTATGTATGTTCTCACATGTTAATGCGCCCAGAAGACACTGGTCACAGCAAGGTCAATGCATTTCTTGTGTGGGGTCCTCCCTTTTGACCTCCCAAGGCCTCCCGCAATAGTGACCACACGTGGAAATAAAAATGTCTATATCCTCCTGACTACCAGCTATGGAGTTTTGGCCTCTGTAGAGGACATTATGTTTTAGTGATTTCTCTGAGACATTACATGTCACAGTTTTAAGTCTGGATGTCCTGTACAGAGCACATTCAGGGCTTTTCAGAGATACCAAATGATTGCATGTTTCACCATGACCACTCCCTCTCTTTTGGTCTTTAAAAATGGCTGACATTAATTTAGTGATCAAGTGTAACACCCTTATGGAAATATGATAATATTTTGTAATTATCATTTAAATCTGACTAATTTTCAAATTGTTTGTCATAAATCAACATCTCAGGAAAATGTTATGGGGTTTCAAATCAAAATATGACCTTCTGTTATGAAACAGGACGTCGATTTCATACATGTCCACTGTAGAGGACACCAGGACTTAAAGCATGTTTATTACACATTTTGGGAGACACAACAAATGAATAGAGAAAGAATTATGTATCAATATTCCTATTAAATATTAGATATTATGAAAATCTTGCTAATTATTACTCCCATTATTGTACTTATTTGTTCATTCTATGTTGCCCCAAAAACACATTAATATGCAAATTAGATACAGTTTATAGATACATTGTATATAATGGAAAAACTTGTTTATGGCCATTTTACACACATTTTGCATAAGAAAAATGTTTTTTAAAAATATCTTTCATAACATAGTTGAGAATCGTCTTTATATAAAGTTTGGTATAAAAAAATGAA